GCTCGACATGGATGCACTGAAAATTAAGCTCCCGCCTCATTTCCATGTTCTGTGGCTGTTGCTTTGCAGCAGCAATACTATGATGTAAACAACAAACAAAACACCTGCTCCAGCCTCGGCGGCGAATTGCTTGGGCAGCAGGGGCAATGCCTCTACGTCATCGGAGAACGTCCTTGAATACCAAACCTGTTCAATGGTGGCCGCTATATCGGACGCCAAAGTACTTCTCGGTGCCAGACGAGACACCTGCCACAAGTCCTGCGAGCACGAGCGCAGCATGCCTAGGCAGCTCCGGTTCTGAGTTGTAGCAATGCCAGCACTGGCAATTCCTACAGCGCAGCAATTGGCAGCCCTGGCACTGGGACCACCTGCAGCAAGCCGTAGTGGCAAGCCGCTGCAGCAAGTATGGCAAGCCAGTAAGGCCACCAAATAATGATCATGGCCATTCCGGCTAAAAAATGCCCTCCACTACAACTTTCAGGGCTCCGAAGGCGAGCTTGATGCCCTTGCCCTTTGCACGTGCCTTCGCATTCTGGATCCGTGCACCTTTGAGAAAGCTTGATGGCTCACAGTCTTCTGTTGGCTCGGGCAGATGTTGACCACGTTGGGCCGACTTCGCGCAGGCCTCTACAGCCACGACCGAAAAAGCCACGGCCAGCGCAGCCGCCAGGACCGCGCATGTCTGCGGCCCCCAGGCCGCCATGGCTTCTGTACAAAGCTGATGGAACGCAGCATGTATCTGGGCGTTCTGTCTTGTGAATCGCGAGAAATCGTTTCGCCCTATGCAGCATCCCAAATCACGGAGATAGGATTTGATTTCCTTGGCAGTGATGACCGCACCTCCATCCACAAGAGCCCTTGCAGTCTTCGCGTTTGGTTGGACGGAACTGAGAAGCGTGTCAAGCGGTGTCTTGCCGTCGTGGTCCTTCTTGTGGGTGCAGGTGCGGATGTCACTGCCACGATCTGCCACGGACCTCAATGGAAACACACCGCTTCACGAGGCTGCCTGAAGACTGCCCAGGTTCTCCTGGATGCAGGTGCGCACGTCGTCCGCACCTTCATCCAGAAGAACCTGGCAGTCTTCGCATTGCCATAGAGGGCAGCATGGTAAGGCAGTGTCTGGCCGTACTTGTTCTTGGCACTGATGTCTGTGCCCGTATTGGCGAGAATCTGCACGCGCTTCGCGAGTCCGTTGTCTGCAGCGCAATGTAGCGGGTTGGGTCCGTTCCAGTTGTTCTTGACATTTACATTTGCCCCCTTGTCGTTGAGCTGTTGCAAGGTTGCGGCATCGCCGTCTTTCGCAGCTTGGAGCAAATCGCCCAAGGTGCCGCGCGCGGGAAATGAGAAGTAGACGCAGGAGCTTTGGCAGGCTTTGCGACTCACTGCGCGAGTTTTCTTCTGGCCTCTTCGAGCAGAAAATTGCCAGCAGCCATTCAAAATTTGAAGGGCTTGGCTGCTAACTGCTACACGCGAAGCTCCTTGAGAGGGAAGAAGACACCGCGTTTGCCTCCGGCGGGCGTTTTAATCAGGAGGCGTGTAGCTGCTAGAATGCAGACCTGCAGTGAAATCCTGAAGCAACCCACCGGCAAAGCTGCATCGCACCTTGGATTTTGGGGCCTCAGCTCAGCCAACTTCTCACAGAAGAGATGTCCACAAAGAGATAAGCTTCTCTACGGGAAAGACATATCAAGTCATGAGTGCCCCAATACTCGAGCGATTAAGCCTAAGCCATCACCCATACACAGAAGCACACACCATGACGGTTGGATCCTCACACCAGCTGTCAACAAAACTGCGGAGCCAGGGGGTCGTTGCAATATCTGCTATGACAAACCCATACCCTGCCATCGGAAACCAAAAGGTCCGAAGTTTGAAAACAAGGAAGCAACAAGGACTACCCTCTGACCAAGAGATGCAAGATCTTGGAGCAACCTCAATACATTGCTTCAGGCAAGGCTTCAGAAGCTACGACTCAAGCAGCGGACAAGGCCAAGCAGAACAGCTGAGCTCATGGCGCTTCGTGGTCTTCTCGACAGCACATATGCAGGATTGGCACCTCATGACGATCGACGGAATGCTGTTGGGATCGGGCGCCCATGCGCTACAGCAATCAGTCTTTCACTTCGAACGTCCCCACCCTGCAGATAATGCATTGGGGGCCACACCACTGACTGGCGTTGCGGTCGTGGGGTCCCCGAACACGTAACAACACACGAGTGTTCGATTTAAGTCAGTCGACGATCCATGGGGGCCGCCACTGGCTTGCGGTAAAGTCCTGGGCCCCCGGGTTGGAGTGTCGGGGTTGGTTTCAGGGTCTCTGAGCGAGTCTCACGGTAGTCTGTGGGGTTGGGCACTCCAAGGAGTCTCGTGGTAGTGGTGTGGGCAGGCCAGGCAGTCTCTGGAGGTAATCTCAGCGGGTGAGGAGCGGACGAGGAGCTGGCGAGAGAAATAGCTGACTTTAAAATCCAGCAACCCTGCACCGAGGGTGGTGAAAAACAAACAGAACAACCAAGAAAATAGCAACAACAACGACAGCTGCTGCTACTGCTGCTAGTACCTGCTACTGCTGTCTGGTAACTGCTTATTACTGCGACGACCACGACGACGAGGACGACGACGACTACTACTACTCCTGCTCCTGCTCCTGCTCCTACTCCAACTCCTGCTCCTGAGCCAACCATTTTCTCTACCAGCTTCCCGAATCGCACATGCCACCTCACCATGAGACGTAAGTACATTTGCGATCAGAGCTTTCTAAGGGCCGGGCGCGGCTCACGATATCTGCAGAAGTCCACGGTGGCACCAGGCTTGGCAGAAGTGAGAGCTGACCATGCTATCGACACGACACGACCTCTTGATACAGAAGTTGCTTAGAGCTGCCAGGCTTAGGGCTATCGTCTTACACAGGCGGCAGTTTCCCCCCAATTACATCACTATCGCAACGCGTCCTGCATCTGAAAATTCAGCGGCTCATGCAGACTCCAGTGGCCAAGACGACGGCCCCTAGCACATAGATCTTGGCAATGGCGAACACTCCCTCAGACGTTACCGTCTGACCTGGCGACACAACGCAGAGAAGCGAATCTGGATTTGAAACCATCTTGAAATGTAGATGCCACATGAATACACACGCGTAATCCGCCCCCTAAAAACCCCGATCAAGCAGGCCACGCGCACCATTCTTGAAAGTTTCAGAAGCAAACACCAGCGACCTGTAGAGAGCAGCAGGAGCAACAGTAACAGCATGAGCAGCAACGACAATTGTGCCAAAAATGTGCCCACAGCAACGAAGGAATAGCCTTGCTGACAAACCCACAGCAGGATATGCCAGCTACAAGGCTGTCATGCGCTACGCGGGGCCCGAATGCCTTACATCATGTATTGCTGCCGAACTTGCCACCTCCCTCGCATCGCATCGAGGCCACAAGAGATGATTGATAGTTCAGCACTAAAGGGTCATGAATGTCATGAGGCTCAACCGGGATGTTTGGAGACCTTCTGGGCAGGTTAGTAGCCACATCGGGCCCCTGGCGGATGATCCGTAAGAGCACCTGGCTGCCATGCTTGGGGCAAACACTCTTGTGCCGCGCGCAGGGCTGTAGTTGGTGAAACAATTCGCTGAGGCATCCTTCTTTGATCCTACGCTGCCCTTTGCCGCAGACTACAAGAATGGTTTAGGGCGAGACCAGCAAACGAATCCCTTCGCCATGTGAACCTTGAGCTCGTTTGTCCGCGTATTCCTTGAAGGATGGCACATGCTGGTGGAAGAAGTAGATCTGCGCAGCAAGCAGGGGTGCTTGGTGCGGGGTTCCTCTGCCAGGATCATCCCTGATTCCGCCAGGCTCGGCTTTAGGGAAGCGTTGAGGAATGCATTCCGAACCTGATCCTTGCGGTCGCGGATAGCTGCAAGGAAGTCCTCAGCCCCGCATTGTTCACAGTGGACGCACAAGCAGCGTACGCAGAAACACACATACACACACACACACAACAATCTTCCTCCTTTCGAAGGCGCAGAAGTTCGCAGTCCTCCAAACACCTAAGTTACCGACAGGGCTTAACAAGAACTCGGACTGATTACAAAGTGCAGCACAGCGACGGATGGTGCAAGGGTGTTCGAGCATGTGCAGGACATGCATGTTTATATATAGAGAGAGAGAGAGCGAGCGAGAGCGCGATAAGTAAGTAGATAGGCAGATGGGTAGAATATAGGCAGATGCATACAGATGTGTCTATATCTATATACACATAATATATATATATATATATGTATATACTGACAACCATGAAGAAAGAAAGAGATTATAGAATAGCGATGCGATATGAGGCGATACTGACACGATGATAGCTGTGTTAGCTATGTGATACAGACAGGATACTGCTGTAAGGGCCAAGCATGACCTTTTTGTTACTCATGTTCTTGGCTCGATGTTTGCAGGTTCTGCTTATGCCTGCATGAACACACATGCGCGTAACTAAACAGTAGTGGATGTCTGCATACACACAAGCTGAAAATCCAATTTCTTTTGGCAACTCTACAAGCAGATTCCTAAAACCGTACAGGTTTACATCACAGATGCTACATGCAATCCTGAGTAGCACAAAGCTTTGTATAGAAAAAAACCGCAGAAGCACCAGCATCATCGATCCACCCGCGCTAGTACTACGTACGTGTACAATCTAGACTCTGTCATGGTTCGTGCACCCCATATTGGCCATATCTGAAACAAAATGTGCTGTTGGCAGCTGGGCCCGGAATGGAAATGAACGTGGTTGCATATGGTACTGCATGAACGTGCATGGGAACACTTGCTCACTCTTACCAAAAGATGTAAACATTCGCTTATCACTACACATGCTTCACTACATCCACTACATGTATCTCTTACTAATTAATTATCCTGTTTTGGCACTCGCACTCGGCGAGGTTTTAGGATTTTGGATTTTTCGCCTTTTAGTAATTTTAGTAGCCCAAAACCCTAAACCCTAAACCAGTTTTTAGGGTCACGGTTTAGGGCATCCGGGGCCGCTGCACGACACTGGCCCTGCGCCTTGGCACTTGGAGGGAGAGGCGCTAGTGTTGGAAACAACAAGCAAGCTCACAAGAAGTTTCGCATGACGGAACACACGAGATGCATGTCACAAGCTTTTAGTAGGCCAACTTTAGTCATCACCTTACGGTGATGTGTTGACGGCTGTGGTACTGCCAAGGGCCATCTAAACGAGCAGCATGTCGTTGTACCGTTTCCTACAAGAGGACATTGTGACGACTCTTCCTCACCTGTGCATCGCTAAAAAGCTGGAGCAAGTACCCTCCGCCTTTACATACAAGAAGAAGCGACAGATCATGTGATGGCACACCCATGTTGAAGCATTCACGTCCCCAACAGACGCAGACGGGGTTGGTGTAACTTAGTGTAGCCTTTAAACAAAGTCCCGATTGTCTGGACTGTTTCCTCTGCTTCCGTGCACATCAACAAACGCATGGTTGCGTGTAGCTGGCGGTACTGGCGGCCCAAGATGATACCCATTATACAAGCAACACTGGTGGCAACAGCCCAGCGCCACGATAGCCTTATAGTACGTTATAGTACCCTTGCAGGCATCCTTGCCGCTGTCGTGCCCTTTTACCTAAACCCTACACTGTTCTTATAGGAACTAAGACGTCGCTCCGGGGCCCGGGCGGCTCCGTGTTCTGCAGAGCCAGCTCCTCAGTTCAACCCAAGAGGGAGACAAACTGGGAATAACTTTGGGGGCTACGATAAAGGTAATTCGAGGGTACAATAAGGGTACTATGATAAAGGGTACTATAAAGGTACCATTATAGGGGTACTATAAGAGCACCGTTATATGGGTACTATAAAGGCACTATCTTACAAGGGTGCTGTCAGGGTACCACTAGAAGGGTACTGTAAAGGTACGATGTTACAGGGGTATAAGGTTGATTGTAAGGGTCACTACACATATCAGGGCCAAGTAAGGGTTCCTCTACATGTGCTTGTGAGGACAGCTTGGGCAAGCGGAATGCTGGGACAACTGTGCTCTGAAAAACAATTTGGTGTCTGTCTTTGGGATATCAGGGTACTATATTAGGGTACTATTTAGGGTATTATATTAGGGGGATGGTGCAGGAGCCCATGGGGCGAAGAGCAGCGTAAGTTCTGCTAGGACCCTGGCTCCGAAAAGGCTGCCATCGTGAAGACATGTGAGCAGTGGCCCCAGGTGCGACTCCTGAAGGCCAACATGAAAACCTAAACTGAACGGTGCTTATGTACGCGGAGGCAGGGGTAAAGATGGACTTCAGCAGAAAGAAGGATGCACAAAAAAAAGCATAGGCAGGTGCAGAAACACAAACAGAAAGGTGCACGGACGAAGGCGTGCATACAAACACCTACCTGGCGCGACTGATTGCGACTGCCAGCATTTAAACAGACAACCAAGTTGCTGCCAGGATAGAGCACTGCCTCATGGAAAGCGCCGGGCGGAGCATGGAAGATTCTGAACCAGGTTTACAACTTCGTTAACTCCAAAATATAATAGTGATTCCAAAAGAGCTCAGCTTCGTTGTCGCTCCACGCAAGACACGCGGTTCAAATTTGGCATCGGGCTTTCACCGCTTCCCGGTATATCCCCCACATGCTCGCTTCACGAGGCCCGGAGACATCAAGCAACGCACATCAACCGTGCTCATGACATCGACATATACGCTTCGACCTACAGTGGTCTGTGAGGAAAGTTCCTCAGAATGTATTGGTGTATATTGATATTGGACCGCCTGGCAAAAGCAACGCCAACAGCTCACTGTGGAAGGACTCATGGACACATGACGCGATATGAGGACCCTTGGCCACCATGAAACTCTGCAAAGCCAAATATCCCCACAAACTCTGGGAGAGCTACGCATCTCTGAAGCCCTTGTTTTGCATCAGGGCTGGTGCAATCGCCTGAATGTCTAAGCCTACCCTACGGCAGTTCAGCTCTCATGACTGCACTTCGAAACCCTAAACCCCAAACCTAAAGCCCAAGAAAGCGGATCGGGTTGCCTTGCTGAAAGTGCTGTAGCCCTCCGTCGTTCGGAAGGACTGCGCCTTACGCAAGAGATGGCCGCGAGCTTCCGGCCCCTACCCTGTCTCATTCTCCTGCCGTATAATGTAATGCAGCACCATACAAACCTGTTAATTCTGTAGCGTGGTGAGCGTATGTATGTATATTTTTGTTCTATGTACTTGAATATTTATAGCATCGAACCAACTTATAAACAGTGTGGCAAGCGGCTGAAACTCTCAGGGCTCGATTTAAAGTAAGCCCAGAGCAATCTGAGCCCTGCGCAATGCGCGGAGGCTTGCCCTGCTTCGCCTCTTCCTTCCTGGCCACCTTGATTTTAGGGTTTAGGGTTTAGGGGTTAAGGGGTTTAGGGTTTAGGGTTTAGGGTTTAAGGTTTAGGGGTTTCGACTCTCACACTCGCACAAGGCCGGCAAGGCTCCGCATGGTGGTTTAGGGGTTTAGGGTTTAGGGGTTTACACTCTCACAACTCGGACAAGCCAAGCGAGGATCCACAGGTGTTTTTAGGGTTTAGGGTTTGCGGTTTCTGTCTCGTTGCTGATGCTGCCATAGGCTCAGGGTTTAGGGTTTCGTCGCTTGCTGCCGGCCACCCCATCGCCAGTCATCTCTCGTTTTGTCAGCGATGCATTTTTCGTGTGCCCGTAGCATCAGGCACGTCCACCGACTTCTCAGGATGGCACGTTTTAGGGTTTAGGGTTTAGGGTTCAGGGAAAATGGTGCGGGAGTGGGGAACGGAAGCATTGAGCGTCTGCAAGTAAGGTTTCGTGACAATTTTTCCACGTTCTCAAGTCCTTTCGATTCTCAGCAGGTGGCAAATCGCCTCGAAGTCCTATACAAGTCTTGCTACCCCTTTCCAGGAAGAGCTGAAAAGCCAATCTCCTCCACGGGTCCCGAGCCAGGTCCCAGCGTTCCTTGCCGCTCCTCCACAGCGAGAAATGGCTTCAAGGAGGCTCGGTCTTCCGGCAAAAAATCGAAGGCATGACAAAAGCACGACACTGCTTCTAATTTCTAGTCTTGAGCCTCTCGCAAGCGACTACTGTAACATGCCTGAGGGTTGAGTCGGGTTGAGCTTGGCTTGGGATTCTTCTCTTGCGTTTCTTCCCCTCAGCTTTGCTGTTCTCTGTGCTGGGCGAAGCCCAAAAGCGCAGATCAGGCCTGCGGAAGTCCGTGAGCGTGGGCATCTCGCCCTTCCGAATCCGCGGCGTCACCGGCTTCCTCTTGCCCTCGGCTTTGAAGCCGAGGCTGGGGCGGGCTTCGGTCCAAGAAAGGCCGTCTAGGCAGCAACCCGCGGCCCTGAACTCGTGAAGCATGCTCCTTCTGATGAGGACGTCGGGCATGCTTCTTGCAAGGGGTGCAAAAGGATACATTGCTGGCAGTGGAAGATGGGCTGGCTTGAACGCCTGCTCTACCCTAAATTAAGGGATGGCTGCCAAACGCAACGAGCCGCTGAGCACAAGCCATTGCCAGCTCCACGACCCAAGGTAACTAAGCCGTGCGCGAACGTGGTGTCCCAGGCATGCACGGCTACCTGAGGCATCGTACAGGGAGCGCCATCTACATATGTGTATGACGTATGTAGGTGTGTGTGTGTGTGTATATAGATATATATGTACAAATACGTACTTACATACATACATACATACATACATACATACATACATACATACATACATACATACAGTGCTTACTTACTTGCTGGCTTAGTTGCATACTTACTTTCCCTGTTACAAGTTATACAAAGGGTACATACTCAGTGTTGCACTATATGTTACATACATACTGAAGTCTTATCTGTTATCTAAGCACCCTGGCCTGTCCCTTCACCAGGATGAACGCATCTTTGCCTCATGCAGGCCACAGGTCAAAGGCCAAGCTCAAGAACTCTCATCAACCGACTTGCGCCACGGAATTCCTGAATATATACACCACGCCCCTCCTGCAATTGCACTTCGTCTGGTTAGTTCCTGACATCGTGTAGCCTCCGTCATCCATGCATATTTGCAAGTTTTCCGCAGCGACGGCCTGGATCGTTTTGTCGAAAAATGACCTGCCCCAAGACTGCGCAGACTTGACTTCTCCAAAGCGGCACACAAACTTGACTTCGGGCTAGCTCGACTCAGCTAGACGGGACAGGGTTGTGCGACCGCTCTCCAGAGAGCATCCCCCAGCCTGCCCCTTCAGCTCTGTCGTGAATTCGGCTGTCTTCGCCAACCTCGGGGAGGAGCTTGCGAGCTGGCAAGATCTATCAAGCTACAGAACTGCAAAAAGCTAGACAAGCCAGTACGAAGGTGAATCTTGAGTTCGCGTGCTCGATGCTCACACTCTGGCTCGCGGACGTTGTCCAAGATAACCCGAAGAGGCTGGGCATCCGAGCTTGTGGATAACGCCCGGGCTCGTCTCCTGAGATAAGTTTGCCCCAAACGCCATGCTGCTTTTGCGAATACCCTATAGAACCCTTCTTGCAGAATCCGTATCGAACCGTTCTTCTGGCCGAGGTTTCACATATTCCGTCGATTATGTCGGGCCGATGAGCCATGCTGCGCAAAATCAAACGTGTCAACGCAAACATGTGTTGCTGGAGCGCTGCCTCCATCTTGTTAAAGAAATCCACCTAGGCCAGGCCGACAAGGCAGTGAATGTGCGCTCGCACCTACAGTCAAGACTTAACTGTTCAAAAGGGTTGATGAAGGGCTTATTGGGTGTTATAACATTACATATGTATCAGAAATTGTCTCCACCACTCGACCCCCATGGCAGCAAGTGCACAGCTTAGGCACGCACCGACTGCAATAAACCAACGACCTTGGCAACGTCCACAAACTCGGACAGCACCTCGCAATTGAAGAGCCGAAGCTTTCATCCTCGCTCATACTCCTCGGTGCCAGCACATCCTACTTCCAAGTGCCCGGAGGATCAACGGGACCTTCTCTATCCTTCTTCTCTGGTCTGTGGCAACGCAAAGCTGGACGACCCGAAACCCTATCCCGCCACAAAGCGCCGGAGCCTTGCGGAAAACTCTGGCATTGAACAGAAGAAGTTCGCAGTCCGCCGAACACCTCAAGGCAAATCTGGTTCTTCTCACGGAATCTAATCGCAGACAGGATCCAAACACTTTGGCAGTCTGAGAATATCCGTGCGTCCTTCTGTTCACATTGAAGATCAACTCTGACCATCACCACCATCCTGACCATCATCGTCACACTCACGCGATCATCAGCAAAAGCATCCTGACACCCCAAACAATTTTCACCTCATCATCTGGGTAGTTCTCTAAATGAGGGTCCCTTTTTGGGTCCTGTTTGCAAGGGCGGCCTACTATTTTGGCGGACCCAACAAGGGGCCCTATTTTTAGAGAATCACTCCTAAACCCTTTTTACACAGGCTTGCCCTAAACCCTAAACCCCGTTTTTGAACGAGGTCTCTCTGAAGTGCCTGTAGTAGTATGATTTCATCGATCTCTCCCTAAACCCCTGAACCCCAAACCCTATAAACCCTTAAAGCCCGAAACCGTTTCGTCGTGGGATTTCGGAAGCTCCTTACACCCGGCCTGATCGAGGCGCTTCTCGGGGCTTCCGAAAGCAGCGCCACCTCCTGGGGCTCGGTTTAGGGTACAGGGTTTGGGGCTAAGTTTCGGGTTTAGGGGGTAGGGTTTAGGGTTTACACTCTCACAACTCGGACAAGCCAGGCGAGGATCCATAGGGTTTAGGGTTTAGGGTTTAGGGTATAGGGTTTAAGGCAAAGGGTTTAAGGGTTTCGGGTATAGGGTTTATGGCCAAGTTTAGGGCTTAGGGGCCCACCGGAAGGGTCTGCCAGAGAGAGCCTAATGCCTAACACCCCTACCGCTACCAATAGGAAGCTCCTGTCACTCGGAAGCCTGCAAATAAAACTCCATAAAATCCCCATCCCAACAAAAGCCCCGGACGCCAAACACTGAGCCAGCTTCGAGAGTGTTCACCTGGCAGCATGCATCTCATGGTGGGGAAAGCACGGGAAAGCGGCGCACATCTTCGGCTAACACGAGCTTTAGAATCACCTTCGGTGGAATCTGACGAACACGGCTTCGGCCACGGCATTTCACGACTGGCCGAGATCTACGACAGCGGCTGTACCAGACAAGTTGAATCCGCTTGACAGGAGGCAATCCGTCGAGCCCGCAGAATCCACGTGCAACGAGTCAACATCAAGAGATCTCGAGCCGGCAAAACCTGGTCTCCGAGGTTCGACTCCTGGCCCAAGCTGGGAAGTCAGACAGGGTTGGGTTTCTGCCATGTTACACTTCGGTTCTGAAATGGAGGCTTTAGTGTTTCGGGAGGTGTTCGCCTGGTTCCTGGGGGATCATGCAGTGTCAACCGCCGCTGCGAGGATTCTTGAAGAAGAAGCCGCCAGATTTGGAGCCTTGTCTTCGGCTGTGTTTTGGGGCCTGCAAATCAGTGCTCTGATATGGAGCATTCCGAGATACACGATGTGTTTGCGAAAATGTCGGGTCCGAAGTTAGGCAGAACACGCAAGCATCTCTTCACTTGACCTGGATCCTTGATCGCACAGTTAAAACATGAGGATGAAGGCTACCAGAGGCTACCCAATGCCGAAAGACTACTCACCGCGAAGACCCGCTGGCTGATAAGCACACAATGGATTATGCACGTACTCCAGGGCGCGTCAAGACTGAAGAGCCGGAATGCAATCCTCGGTGAATGTGCTGAAGCCTTCGACAGTGGAGTAGACCTTGGAAAATGTTTTCGAAGGCGCCGGAGCACAAGCGCACAGGATCTGCGGCCTACGACCGGGCTTCCGAGCATTCCGACCCCACTCATCCTGCTTCCTGGCATGTTTGGCTGCATCCGGGCAGCGTTGGCAGCCGTTCGATTTGTTTCTCCGGGGATCTAAGAGGCACCGAGTTCAAGTAACAATTCAAGTAGCTGTGCCTCCACGTCAGTGTGCCGCACAGGTTGCTCAAATTTGCGCTGAGTGTGGCTGCTTTGGCATGCTGACAGGACACCAACTAAAACAATTCCTTGGCTCTGCATGCTGAAACTCTTCGAATCAAGAGATACACAAAATCCCATCGCTTCGCCTGATAGTGTCGTCGCGCTTCTTGGCCTGCCTGAAGTTCGGGGTGCACGCGGTTCTCATAAAAAGCTTCGCCACCATCTCGGCAGTAGCGGTTGCACACCAGGCGCACCGTTCCCGGATCCTGGATCCTGCTGCGTACTCTGTTATCTGTTATGCAGGATGCCTCGTCGGAATCTTCTCGCGAATCTTCCAAGACATAGCGGAGCAAGGCCTGCGACGATCGAAAGGCATGGGAAAGTGTCGGGATGGCCAAAGAGCAAGGCCAGCGCCTGCTGTTGACCCTCGACCACAGTGTCCTCACACCGCGGAGAGTTCCACACACGTTGAAAGCGGGTTGTCACGAGGAACTGGAACCATACGTTGCCCACATGACGAAACCACGTGTCACATGTCCGCTCCTGTCCCCCTCCGCGACCGAGGTCTTGTCGGCAGGATCCCTGCAGGCATGTGTGCGTAGCTTCCCGTCAGTACTTCGTACAACGTGTGCCTGCGGGGACTCAGCTAGCCCAGGAGCTGGAAACTGCGAATTTTCTCGCCGGTCTAGCTGGAGAGTATGCCGTGCCTCTTTACACCTAGCGAGAATTGCGCATGAACCCACTGCATGCTGTCGTCGTTGTCATATATAAACCTTGCCATCAGCACCATCCTCATCATCATCAGCAGCAAGGTTCCATTGCATGCAATGCACACGAAGTAAAGCCTTGTCACCACCTGCCTATCCGCGTGCTGCTGTGTGCGCCATTCTGACTCTTGTTCGTGGTCCTCGTGGCTGCTGTCCTGCTAGAAGCAGAAGCCATGACAAAAACAATGGCATAGCGGTTGTGAACGTGGTCATGGCGATGCTGGCTGCACAGCTTCATCTGCGATACTAACCGATACTACTGATGGCAATCTGGATGACCTGGACGCATTGCGTGTGCGATGATGCTCAGGCCTTTCGTCCGGACCCTGCGGCAGCTCCCAAGCTCTCTGCGAGTTGCGCCTGTGAGACAGCTCCACATGCACGTGGTGAAATGTGGACTCTTTTCCACCATTCACGACTCCAGACTGTTGGTTCCTACTAATTATACGAAAATGAAGAGAGTCATTCGCGTATATAGGTACGCCAGTTTACAATGAAATGAGAGAATGTACATTTCACTCTATTGAAAAGAACAAAGGAAATGAAGAAAAGAACCTCTTCACATTGTACTGAAATCATGCCGTCGCTTCGCTCACAAGAGCCCCAATATAATGCAATCATGGCATTTGAGTTTTTTTGCCTCCTACATGGCATTTAATAGGCTCTTGGCTTTTGTCACTTTGCTCTGTTCATCTTTCCTGTGTCTCGTTCTTTCCTGCAGCATGCTTTCCTGCAGCATACAGCCCAAAACAAAGAAGAAAGTCACAATGGCCTCTGACCAATTCCAGATGGCTGCGTGTCCTGGCACATGATCTCAGCACAACAGAACTGGTGCAGGGCCGATCCCGCCAGAAATATCCTGTTAGCTCCCTCCGCACCACAGTAACAAGAAAAGAAAGCAATTCTAACGCCATGGACGGAATCGCCTGAGACCGCTTCACCTCCTGCACCTCTGTGGCCACTCGCCTGGGTCTGCATTCGGAACTGCGGGTGCACTCGGAAGACACACATTTTCACTGCCATGACATGTTGCAGATGGCTTGTTCGCACCGGCTTCGGGCTTACATCCAACACACATTGAAAAGAACTGTCGGCCGAGATTCTCCGGCACAGTCCCAATGACTCCAGAAATCTTCGCAATTGACACTTCCAGCCCATGAATGAAGCTGGGCTGAAACCTCCGTCTTTCCGCAATGCAGCTGGATAGAGATGCCGTAAGATGTCCACAGATTCGACATTGTACGACCATGCAGTATATACGCAATCCCTGCGAGCAATCCTGTATCCGACAGTGACTGCACCAAAAGGCAGAACCTGGGTGTGCAGCCGCACTTGAGTCAGAGTTGACGGCATTTGATCCTGACTTTCGAAAGCAATGGGGGACTGCAAGCGCTTGAACGCTTGAAAGCTCCTTGGGCTGGCAGCATGTAAGCTAAGAAACAATAAGAAGGTCTCACAGTTTTCGCTGCCATCTGGGCACTCTTTTTCTTTCCGCGATGGTCGTTGGGAACAGCCCAGGTGGGTGGCGCCACATGGAGCTCACCCGACCCGTCTAATCGTAACCCGTGAGGGTTTAGGGTTTAGGGTTTAGGGTTATCCCCCCAAAAGAAGCATCTGGCCGTCCTTCCCCAGGTCGGGACGAGGGCTAGGAAGAGCTTCCCCGGACCGAACCAAGACCTCGTTGCTTCAGGGGCTTGCCATTTTCCCCGCCTCCCACCTAACTGGTATTAGGGTTCAGGGTCTGACTTAGCTGGTATTAGGGTTCAGGGTCTGACTTGGGTAGCACATGAGATTTGGGGCTTGAGCTCGAAGATTGGAACTTCTCTGCTCCCACAACGTTGCTCCAACGTTGCAAGCAAGCAAGCAAGCAAGCCGTGGTTCTGCTTGTACATCCTTCTGGAGGACATGACCAGGCTCTTACAACGATTTCACTGAACAAGCTTGTGCCAATGAATGCATCACATAGGTCTTCCAATGCCAATTGACATGCTGGCCATTATCAGGACAAGCTTTAAGGAAGCTTTCATGGGATTCGATTCAACTTCAAGCTGCTGGAGCTCCAAAACTCGAGCCAGGCCTCCGGCTGAGACGCTGCCTTTCAGAAGAAGGTACACACCTCTCTGGCCAACAAGTCTTACGGGCTCAGAGATGCACCACACAGGTCTTGAGAAGAGGTCTACGGCTTTCAAGCTCCGGGCTGGTCGCTTGATCTCCTTGGCCTGGGACCCGAAACGCTGTCAAACCAACTGTTGCACTGACGACGGATCGAATGTTCCACTTCTATCTTTGCCGGCTCTGGGTAGCGTTGGCCTGGACTGTCACAAGTGTCCGATGCCGATAAACCGAGTTCAAGACGGAAGATGACTTGGCCCTCCCGCTCGTGCCTGACTGTTGCCACCTGCAGGTGCAAGGAAAACAATCGAAAACGATATGCCCCACGGGTTGTTCATTGTTCACCTCCAAACGCGGACAAACTATCTGGCGCTGTTAACTCCCATCCACCTTCGCTATCTTGTGAATGATGCCGACTTTCTCCCTCTCCATGTTCATGAAGAAGGGTGTCTTGCCTAAGGTCAGCTTGAATGGATCTTCAGCATCGCACGTGCATCTCTCTTTGTATGCATGCGTACTGTACATATGTATACACGTACAGAAACATTCACATATACACATAATTACATATACGTAAGTATGTACGTATAAACACATATAGATGTACGCGCGTGTTTATTTCATGCGTTCATAAAACAGTAAAAGCTAAAATCAAAAAAAGAATAGAACAGAAAAGACTAGAACAGAAAGGAATAGCATAGCATAGAATAGAATTCGAATAGAACAGAATTCGAATGCAATTAAGATGGAATGTAAATAAACCTTTGACAGAGTATTAGTAGAATATTAATAGAATATTAACAGAATATTAAAAGAACGTAATAGAATGTCAATATGATATTCATATAACAACCTGTGACATAATATATAATTTATAACAGCATGATATGGTTTAGATGATTTATCATATTAAAATACAGCGTTCTAAGATATCATGACATACTATAATATGATATAATACGGCAAAACATATAACATACTCCAAAATGAAATATTCTATTAAAATACAGCATTCTAATGTAACATGACATAATATGATATATTATGGCAAAATATATAACATACTCCGTAATAAACACTTATTATGTGAAATATTTTCCTATTATATTATGAAATCATAGATTAAATGATGTATTCTAGTATAAAATGATATAGCATAATATATTCAATGAAACTTCATATTAAATGAAAAGATATGTTATAATGAAAACGGACATGGTACAATCCAGTATGATAGAGTGCAATATAACATGATGTATAAGATAACCTGAAAAGATAAGGCAAGATAAACAAGATAAGACATGACATTTCTTAGCCTAGAACATGATAAGATACATAATATGTGATACGAAAAAACAGGTGCAAGACGATATGCATGAATGTAAGCAGCACAACACATCACATATAACTTATAACACTTGTTCTTAGCAATACAAAAAACCATACAAAAACTATCCTGGAAATGTAAATCATACAAACACTAATGTATAAACATGTAAATATATAATTATATAAAAACTCAGATGACTGAATACATATATATATATATCCATAAATCAGTATGAAAATATATGAACACATAAATATATTATTTTTTATTCTGAAGGCCCGAAGCAAGATGCACTCGATGAGTGTCTGATTGCACTCACTGTTGGCCATCAACACGCACTCACACTAGGCAAGCAGGCGTTGGGGGCAAACAGGAAGGAGGCTAAGGAGCAGGCCACCACTTTTGGGCAAACCTAAGCCTCTGCGAAACACGACTGCAATGTTCA